TGCTGTCACAGAACCAGTCGATCAGATAAATAATGTGTTCATAATTGAGCTTCTCTGTGTATGCATAATTCATCTTGCAATTGGATTCTTATTTTGTTCTTTATTGCACTTATTTTTTTTCCCAATTGACTTTGCTGCTCATTAAAAAAAAAAAATGTAGATTTACATACATATTTTAAAGTCATTTATGTCTTACCATGCAGTCTATAACCGCAGCTCAAAAGAGAAGAATATTATGAACTCCCCCTCATGTTTATAGTGATTCTAGTCTGAAGGACTGCTTGAGTGACCCTAGAGGTACATTGAGCAGATTTCAGCGAAAGAGCACTTACCCACTCTCTTCAAGAGGCATTTAAATAATTCCCATAATCTAGGACGTACTCCTTCTTGAGTTAATTGCATATAAATTAATTTATCCTCATTTGTTTATCCTCATCTATCTATCTGTCTATCTATCTATCATCGTAATATATAATGATTTTTCTGTTAATTAAGTCTTTGGAATTTTTAGTGTGAACACACTAAATACATTATACACTATTTATTCTACTAAACGGCATAGAGCAGTGCATAAGTACACAAATAGGGATGCACCTTCACACATACTACATCCAACATGTTGTTATTGTCACATGACCTATCAGCATCAGTTGTGTCTCTTCACTGCCATTCATAAAACCTTACCCGTGGCCTCATGGGATATTAAAGTGCCCATCAATTCAGAATCTCAGTGGAAGTAATAGGTCATCCAGGCACTTTTCACCTGTTTTTCGAATTATGAATTTTCACATACTATGTAATGGTGAAGTATTTGATTTTGGACACAGTCCCTGACTGTCTTTATGACTGGGTCAGTGAGTCATTGGCTCTCTCGATTCATTAAAAAATATAGATTAATTCAGCAGTTGTGAGTAGTGACTTTGTTTGAAACACACAAATACTACGAACAGAAAGAATAAAGAATAGACAATACTAAGAATAGTGTATATAAAAGCAATATTAGCTTCTCGTTTATTGAACTGTTGTATAAAATCAGTATTAATATTTGCAATTGGGCAGATATTAGGGAAAGAAAAACAACAACACTCCTTCATATATGATATTGCTAAACTATATCATATAATACAATTTAAGAAAAAAACAAAAAAACATACAGGGATTTTTTCCTCATACCTTGAATTTTAGGGGCATATAACTGCTTTTTCTTTGGCTACATCACATGGTCCATTGCCATCCTGTATGGAAGACAGGTAAGGCCAAAAGCATTTAAATGTGAAATTTTAATGTGAAATTTGACCATGTCAACGCACTGTTTGTCTGCGTTAACACAACAACATGCACAGCAGCCAATAAAGCATCTGTATTTGAGACTATATTTACATTTGTAACGCAATGATACATTGGTATATACAAATACAACACATCAGATGTCATGTTTATTCATGAAGGATGTTGTAATGCTGCACTGGTATGCATATATGATGCATATATGCAAACATCAGACGTTATATTTGTTCATGAGGGATGATGCATCAGCACTTTGTGTGTGATATCAAGCTTATGTCATGATTTGTCATGTCCTATTTAGTTGTTTAGTTCAATGTTCTTTCTCAGGTAGAAAAGTCTTAATTTACATTGTAACATTAATTAATTTACTCTACCAGTGAAGCAATGTCACAATAAACTAAATAAAGGATTTATATGTGGTTAAATCTAGAGGTTCAGCATTCAAACATGGCCAGAATGTGTGTCTTGAGAGACATGTTCAAATTTGTCATCTTAGCATGATAAAAGTGTGTCTTTACACGTACTAAAGAAACGAGACGAAAACGTATGCCTTAACATGACAATAATGTGCATGTCTACACATACAAAATAAATGCATTCAAAATCGCCATGTTAATGCAGACAAGCAATGTGTCTTGACACGTATTCCATTTAAAGACTTTTGACCCTGTCAGGAAAGCAGACAGCTAAACTAAACAGGTTGTCATTTGCCCTTGTGGCGATCCTATTGATTTACTGCTTCTCACTGATGGTTTCCCGGAGGGTGCAGGGACAACAAACCCTGAAAAATGTTCAAATGCAGCAAAAGTTTCATGAGCCTTCCTCCCATGAGGCCACCAGCCTGAAACACATTCAGTAATTTAAAAAGTGAGAGGTGAAACCTGATAACATGTCTGCAATTTGGACATAATGCTTTAATGATCAATAATGCAGCCATTTTTACATAGTCTCTGACAAATTACAGATGGCTCAAATGAGTTTGTGACCTGTCCATCCTAGGGCACATGACTGTAGAATGTGTGAGTAAGGTTGTAATCTAGTTGTATAGGTTAACAAGTTGGAAACTGATTCTGTCATTCTGTAGTTACCCATTTATGTCAGACTGTAAGTGCATTAAACAGCAGTGCCAAATTTAATTATGACTGTTATGTAGAGCAGCTAATAGTGAATGTGTGAATAATTCTTACTGCTCAGTGGTTGCATTTGTGGAATAGGTGGGTGCATTTCAGAAAATATGTTCACAAGCTTCTTCTGGAAAGTGCTTGGGTTTTCCAGTATAAACTTTATTTTTATTTGGGTTTTTTTTTCACAGAAATACCTATGCATTATATGCATTGTTGCATATCATATTTGGTGGGGCAGCATTATAGGGTCAAATCAATATTCAAATATTTTTGATTAAATTTTTTTCACCTCATAGTTGAATTGTAATACAATTTTATTAGATTCAAATATTATGTACTATAATTTATGTATTATTATTATTATTATTATTATTATTAATTTCTCTCTCGAGCAAGAAAAAAAGTAGGAAGACAAACTACACCAAATGTAATTTGAAAGGAAATATTAAATATCATGTATGCACTTGCAGGTTAAAAACAGCAAAGAGTGCGATGTACTTGTGGAGCTGAGCATAACTCAGGACACTATAACATAA